ACTTAATAAATAATGACATTTAATATTGATAAAGTATAAAATATAATAATAAATTTTGATTTTTATGTTTAATATATATATTACAATCGATCAAATTAAATTGATCGGCATCGTTGCGGTAAATTTGATCGACATGTTTATCAATTTAATTGGTTAATTTATTAGTACCCAAAAATTTTATAGTATCTGTTACTATTCAAGGGGGATATTATTTTTCTCGTGATCCGGTTAAATTAGATCCGAGCCAATATAACGGCTAAATTATCACATGAGATCTCCCACACTTATAAATAGCACCGATTTTTCAAAAATATTTTATTCTGTAATTTTAGTGTTTGGTGTTTTTTTTTTAATTATTTTGTTATTTTATACGTTCAATATTGGCATGTCATTCGAATGACTTTAAACGAATTCAAATAGCCCTAGTTTTACTATAAAGATTAAAGCGTTGTCCATTAGATTAAAATAATAATATTCTTAAATTCCGGCCAACATAACAAATTCATTACCAAATCTGCGCACGAAAATTCAGTCAGAACGTAGAATTTATATTTTTTTCTGGGCTTCACCAAAACATTTTGGCGCTGATAAATTTTTTCGAACAGTATTATTATATTAGCGAGGAATTTGTCGTAATTACGTAATTAACAAAGATAACCGATTCAGTGAGAACTGAACCCCACCTAAGTTTCACCAAGATCGTAACTCCTGATAAAATTTTTCGAAGTATCTAGAATATTTCGTCGCTCGTCACCCATCATATATCAACCGATTTTTCCCGATTTAATATAAATACGATATGAATCAATCAGGCGGTTCATCAGTACAAACTGAAATCTTCCCACCTGAAAATATAAGATTACATACAAAATATACAAAAAGGTCTTTATTTGACATTTTACTGAAAAGTTGATTTTTTGACCCTTGTTTTTAACCCTCAATTTTCGCGTTTGCAGATATTTCACCGAAATCAAAATCATGATATTTTGTTTTGTGGTAGGTACGGATCTTGGTAGCGTCTTTAGAGTTGGCGGCCAGATAAAAACGACCATTGCGGAGCTCAAAGATATGATCTACGAGAAAAATAAGATCGATTTCCAAAATTTTGATGCCAACAAGTTGAACCTATGGTTGGTGGATATTCCTTACGATACAGAGAACATTAAACTGAGAACACTTCAAAGCCGATTCCGTGATATGGAGGAAGAAAATATTATTATACAAGAACTCGGAGGTAAAAAGTTGTCTCCAGTTGATGATATTGGTGACATCTTTACGTATGACTCCAAGAATATCCGTATCATCGTACAACCTCCGGCCACTACTGGTGAGTGTCTCCCAATGGTTTGCCAATCGAACAAAATATCTTTTCTGTAAGCTTAAGTCTATGATCGACAATGACAGGCGGATTTTAAGTGTTTTATTTCTTTTTTATTTCACTGCATTAGTTTCGTCGATGCACATCATTCCTGACGAAGTTAAGATTGAAATTAAAAACAAAGGTTAGAAGTTTGGCTCTTTTAAATGATTTTTCGCTCACGTTCACTCTTGTTTTTTAGTTGTAAAGGCCTTCCCACACATAAATATTCTTTCAATTGACCAACTTATTGACGCGCTCGCCTTGATTCGGAACGTCGAGGCAATGGAAAGTGACCTTCCAAGTTCACAAAATGACCCGTGCGTTAAACTGAAGATGGCACCCTCTTTTTTCAAAATAAATTTGCCAAGCACCATAACCCAACAATCTGCCACACCGGTAGATCTGTGTCTCCCTCCGTATGAATCGAAATCTGGAATGAACTATCTCAATCCATTTTATGATGATTCCCAATTCATAGATACGGTTTCTCTTGTCCAAGAAAAGTTGATAAACAACCCGAGAGACATAACTATTCTCGCAGGGGTTTCAGGAGGTGGAAAAACATCGACAGCATTTGGAATCTCTATACAACATTGGACAATATATGTTGATTTTTCTCCTAGTGGAGGACAATATGGCGATTTTGTGGGCCGGGAGCTTGAAAGAATCAGAGCTAAACCACCAATGTACGACCAAACTGAAGAACAGAGTAAAGTATTTGACATGTTGGACTTAGGAATAATCTCACGCGGACTTTTACTTATCAAGATGCTTGTTCAGGAAAAAATTTCAACGCCAAAGGAATGGCTGTTTGCACAGCTTCGAATAATGAATATAGAAGAAATTACAGAGGCCTTGCGTGTAGATAATGTTTCTTTACTATTTCGTTACATCATCAAATGTCTCGGTGTGAAATCTCTAATCTTAATATTTGATGAAGCGCAAGTCCTTTGTGGTCACGAATATGGAGAATACAATGGGAGTTCACAGAAATTATGGAAGAAAAAGTGGAATCTCTTGCAGGCTTACATTGAACATCTTACCCATCTTCCCGTTACTTGCCTTATTGCCGGCACATACATGCATATGGCAAGCGGAATTTCCCTTGTCACTAGTGTTGGAAAAGTCCCGGGTTTGCATGTTCATATTGTGCTAAAGCTTCCCTTCCTTACACGAGATGATGTCCAGCGGAATCTCGATACTGTAATCGACATGAGAGATGTTACACCTGAAACTTGCAACTTCCTGGGATTTCATCTCAGTGGACGACCCCGAAACTGTGCATCATTTGTTCGGATGTTGATATCGGAGCGAGAATCAAGGAATAGAACGAAAGATCAAGAGATGCATGAACTTATTTCTTTGTGGTATGCAAAAATAAGCGATGATATGGGAACATATTTGGAAAATGCGTGTAAATCTCTGGGTGCAAATTACTTCAATCCAGAAACAGCAATTCTGGATGTTCTTAGGCTTCGTGTTTTTTACAATTATAAGTTCAAGCATGCTATAGAACTACTTCAACATAGCATCATTCCTTGCCAATCACCAGAATACATTATGTGTAGCCGTGATGATAAAACTTTTAATGAGATCCAAATCAACCCATCATTTGAATCTTACCTTGTCTCTGGCATCGAAATGTTTCTTTTAAATAGAGGGAAAACTTTGGTAGATATCTTCGTTGAATACATTATCCGACTCAATAATACTTCATCAATTGGCAATGAATTTGATGCAGTCTTTATTTCGGCAATGATCCAGAAACGTGGGTTTAATGTACGGGAAGAGCTTAACAAATGGAAAAATGGTCAAGAATTTAACCTTCCTTCATGGATAACTCCTACAATGAGGTTTACGACAATTTCAAATCTATCAGGAGGAGTTCCTATAGTCGAATATGTTAAAAATACAACTTATTACGGTTCTTATGCAATCCAACCAGACAGATTCTCAGGATCAGACGCGGTGATCTCTTTAGTAGATGATAAGCAAGATGTGATATTATTATCGGCAAGTTGCACAATTTCTGGGGAACCTGTTAAACGAGGTAAGATCAAAGAGCAAGTATTTAAGTCATGTATGAATTTTCAGTACATGGTTTTAAAGCAAAAGAGGAAAAATTTCCAAATTGAGGATCAAGAGGAGAAATTTTCTTGGAGAGAATCAGAGCAACTTCAAATAGGTTTTGGCAATTTTTTAACACCCAATGAAGAGGTCAACTCAGAAGAAAAGGAGGAGGAAGATCTTAATTATGATGATTTGGATTATGACTTGGACTACACCAAAAACACGGAAAATTATCAGATATCTAAGGTCTCTGAGCATGCAAAAAATCATGAGGAAATCAAAAGTTCCACAGTGGGTAAAAAACATATTTATGTTTCAGTGGAACTTCCACATAGAGCTGGCAAAAGATCAAAGTTGTTTCGGTTCAATGAATATGGTGACCTCGTGATTATTGTGGATGATCGTAACATAGAATGTGTTTTTGGACCAGTCATTAAGAAGCTAATGAAAAAAATTAGGTTCGTAACTTTACACAATAAGTTTGTAACAAATGCATTCTAATGTGAGAATTTTTATTTCAGCTATAAAGAAAATCAAGAAAATTCGATGAATCAAAAAGATTTGATGGATGAAACGGAATAGCATGAAATTTTTTGTTATATTCAGATGATCAGTTTTCTTATCATAAATAAAAAATAATAATGTATGTGAAATCATATGTGTATTATTTGATTACATTGTAGTAACATAAAATTTATATTTGCGAATACAGTATGCTTAATAAATTGTAATAGAACATGCATATACATCTTTATTTTGTAAATAGATTATCAATGTAAAAAAAAGTTCAGTCAGCTAAGCTAATAAATGGAGTAGCGGATGTTTCAAGGGAGGAATCACTCGAGTCCTAACTCATAAAATGAGAGTTCCTTCCCGCTACTTCACATTACTATCTAAGATTTCATTATTTTTACTATCCATAAACCAATATCATCTAATGTGCTAACATAAAACCCTTGAATTATATTCTTTTTGATTTTCCCTCCGAGTGCACAAATTTTCATCGCTACGTGAAGACACCTCTGAATACCGAACTTGCAAATATATCGAATTATAAGTTATGAAAACGTAAATGGAATATTAATTCCGGTTTGCTTACTAGAACTTTCAGACGAACTTACATGTGACTGGCTTGATGTTTCTGATTGGCTAACCACACTCAGCTGATCAGTTTCGATTCTTTGAATAACAGCATCATTTCATTCTGAAGAGCTTCAACGGAAGCATTGATTGAGGTGAAATCGACCGTAAATCTGCCAAAATTATTACAGTTGTGTTACTAACCATCGATAAGATTTTCAGCGCCTCTTTGGTGAAGTCATCATCACACGCCTTAATTTTTCCGATTTTTGCAGTAAGTTTATTATTAAATTCAGCATATATTTTACCGAGATATTATCGGAGATTTTAATAGTGCGTGCAGAGATTTCATTGGAGATTTTTTGTCAGCACATGGTAACGATCCCTATGAGTATCGCTGAAATAACAAACAAAAAAAAACAGCGGATAAGGCCAAAAATAGCATACTTCCCGAAGAGTTGAATAATGTCAAACTGGACATGATATAGATAGAGTGAGCGTAATAATTTTATTAAGAGTTTATTGGTAGATCAAATCTGTTTTTTAGATAGTAATTGATTTTTTTATAATATATAATTCTCTTGTGTAAATGCGCTAGAAAAAAGGATTATTTTCCTACTACACGTGAAAATGAAAATTTAACCCGATATATATTCTTTATTATGTGTATTCACCATAATTACATTTTTTATATTTACATTTTTTTCACCTAAAATAATTATAACAGCCTGGATCCCATCTAATAATAACAAATGTCTCTTCCTGAATTTGAGGCACATTTAACAATAGTGCTTAAAAGAAAATCTGACAAATTACGGTTTTATGACAACTTGATATAATACTAATGGAGCAATGCATCTTTGTTTGAGTTCATAATCCCTATTTTAATTGTAATCACAAAAAATCTGAATATTTATCATCATGGATCGAGATCTGTAGATGATGAATCGCACATGTATCACTAATTCTCATTCAAAAATGGATTAATGTGATTAACCTGTACATGTAATTTGAATACGCTAACGTCAGTAGGATAATAAAAAATTATCATTTATCTGAGGATCTGTAAATCATAGATTCTAATCAGCTCTATTTCCATTGTTGAATTTCTTTTTAACGACATCCTGTCATACGATCCGCATATAAATCAGAGATGTGTTTTTTTAGTAATTCAGAATTGTGTAATGAGTGAAATAAAACATATCAAAACTTTAAGGAAAGTTCGTAACACAAAAATACTACCCTTGGCTGGGTTTATTAATAGATCCGTGTAAAAATAAACCTTCTTGATAATGACGCAGTTAAATCACATACCTAATATAAACTGCAGATATGCAAAGATGAATTACTGCGTGAGACATAATATATAAGCCACCCACGTGATTCAAAAAAAATATATACGATTTCACACAATTCAGTCAATACGAGTAATTGATTTGCCCAATAATTCTTCTAAGCGATTACCGGAGAGATAATAGGACTCATAATTGGTGAGACCTTTCTTTCGTATCTTCTATCACAATAATAATAGCCTCTATCATGTTCACCATATTTATTATATTCACCGTATCCATTATATCCATTATCATCTGAATCAAAATCATTGTCATAGTTACAATCACTATCATCATCTGTCTGAACTTCATTAGTTTCTTTCTCCATTGACGAAGGCATAGGATCATCATAATATGAATTATCATAATCATTAGAATTTTATTACAAACTTTAGCAGTTTTCTAAAGTTTCTTAAATTATTTACAAACCACTTAAGAGAATTGCAAATACTTGCAAAACTCTTAGAATATTATAAAAAATTGTGAATCTCTTTAGAAAAATACAAAATTTATAAATCTTTTAAAGAATTACAAATAGTTATGAATTTTCTTCAAGGTTTGTAAACAATTTGTAAAATTCTTAGAAAATTGTTGTAGTTCACAGATTCTTTAGAATGATTATCCATAAATTATATATTTTACTACTTTGTAATATATATATCTTTAAATATACTTGAAAAATATCTTTTTTAACTTTGACTTTTTCAGAATAATATTAAGAAAAGAAGTAAATTTTGATAAAGAATAAACTAGAATTATAAAATATAAAGTATAAATTCAATTTCTTTTATTTTTAACTGTTTTAATTTTTTTTAAAATAAAAATATTTTTATAAAATGAATTAAAAAGTATTATGATAAATAAAGACTAAATTTTATAAGCTTTTTTATTTCCTCTTGAATAGTATTTTTAACTACTCCTAATATTTTAATGAATTTGCAGTTTATACTAAAAGGCAATTCCTTATAATGGCAAACAATTCACTTGAAAGTTAGTAAAATAGCTATCAAAATTTTAGAAAAGAAGAGAAGTTAATACTATAATAGTCATATCTTTTTTAAAATAACTAAAGAAGAACTTTGAACTTATAGAATATTAGGTGGTCTTATAATAAATCTTGTAAGATTTCACTAAAAATGTAAGAAAAAAAGCACTTGTTCTTCTTGTATTATAATTTAAAAAAAATAATAATCAAAAATTATTAATAAAAGGAATAAGAAATTAGAATTATTAAGAAAAAAAATAAGAATTAAAAATGATAAGAAAGAAATAAAAATTTAAAAAAAAGATTTACAAATTGATTAACATTAAATTTATAAAAATTTATTATTTAAAATAAGACAATTATTTAATAATAAAATAATATAATTGTTATATATTTTATATAATACTAATAAATAATTATTTTATGTATAATAACAATAATTATAAAAAGGAAGAATAATATTAATATTAAAAAAAAATAATATAGATAATAATTAAATAATGATTTAAAATAATTGAATGAAAGGTTTAAATGAAATTTAAAGAAAAATAATAAAGAAAGAGAAATAATATTATAATAAGAAGAGAAAAAGTTATCAAACTTGAAAATTGAGAAAGAAAATTGTAAAAGAATAAGAAATAAGAAATAAAATGTTATAAAAATGAAATAAAAAAAAAAAATATTTTAAAATAAAGAAAAAAAATATATAATAGATATATGAAAAAGAAGAAATATTTGAAATAATTACTACAAATTAAGAAGAATAATGAGGAACTGAGATATAATAAAAAAAAAGATAGATATAATTAAAGAAGAATAACAATAAATTAAAGTAATATTAGGATAAATATAAAGATTTTTGGTAAAAATGCATTGAACAAGTAAAGTTCTTGTTAAAGTTATTGAACTCATAAACATCTTATATTTGTAAAATTTAAGTTTTGATAATTATAATATATAGTATTATAACAGGATTATTATAACTTAATTAATCTACATAATATATTGTAAATAGTTATATAAGTGACACAATTAATATGATCGACTTAGTAGATGTATTTAATTTATATAATACAAGAAAATGCAGATCAATTTAACATAAGTGATATATCTGACATTTATGACATGTCTGACATATGTAACATAATTGACATATCTAATATATTTGACATATTTGATATATTTAATATATCTGATATACTTAACATATATGATATATTAGATTTACATTAAAAGTATATAAAAGAAACTAAATTCTTAATAAGAAAGTAACTATCAATTGTTAGATACAATTTGATCAATTCAGTAATAACTATGTGCAACCTCTTTTTGTAATGATAGCATAAGGCTATTCTTTTTTACTTGTGATTATTTTTTCTTTTGTATTTTCTTATTTTAGTATTTTTAGCTTTTAGTTTATTTAAGATTTTATTTTCAAGTATTACAAAAATTAATAATTTTTTAATAATATTATCTACTTGATTGAAGAATCTTATATTCAATATTGATATATTAATTATAGGTAAAGCATTTTATTTAATTTTGTATTTTTTTAAAATTTTATCATTTTAATATAATCATTAATACTAATAAACAGATTACACAATAATGTAGAATCATTTACTTTATTGTATACATGCTTATTTATTAACTTAATTTATTATATGTTTTATATATCAATTATAAATAATTTATAAATCTAAGATATTACCGTATATTGCGGGCCATAGTACCCGGGTCCTTTGCAAATTTTAGAGGTTTTTGGCCGTACCCGGGGGTATATTACACCGGTGGATACTATACATAGGGGGTACAGAAATTGTAAAATACCCCGGATACTTACCGTGTATAATACCCTCTTGTCACCAACACGATTTGTTGATTATCCGTAACACATTTTACCATAATTATAAATTTCCGTATTGGAAAAGTCATAAATAGCTTGCTGTTATTCACCTTATCGAGAAAAAATAAATATGATTTCCTTATTTTTTAAGTTTCATTATTTTACATA